CATATTCAAATAACCTAATGTTTTATGCATTTCTTGTTCAATTCATTTTTAAGACCCCAAGTTGAGTAGTTGTACAGCAGCAGTTGACTGAGTTGCTAAATTGGATTGGATTATTTGGGTTACACATACAAAGTATATTTGCTTAATGGAAGAAATACACTTATGGTAGATTTTCTTAAGAAACTTACTCATATCCAACATTGAAAACTTCCAAATAGTCAGCCCATTCTTCAGAAGTTGAAAGTTGAATAAGAAAAGTTTTGCTGGAAGTTCTTAATTGCTTCGTGGGTTCAGTTCCCGGGTAAAGAAAGATTCAAATACTTCAGTCTTTGTTCCCATATGAAACCAATTTCTCTAAAAAAATTTTTCAAGTATTTCTCTTATGGAAATTGAGACTTTAAAAGCAGACTGAATATCAATTTTCAAGTTTTGTCATCAGATATGAAAAGAAGAAAAGTTTATTTTAATTTGTTTACTGTATAAGAAAAACCTGCTAAAAAAACTTTTCTGCAGAGTTATATCTTCTGACCTTAAACATAATTGTAACCAAAGGTTTTGTAAAAACCTGTTATGCTTGTCAGTGCACTGGGAAGGGAAATGACAAAAAGAAGGCTCCAGTGAAATTAGTACCAATCATTTCCGAAATATTCACTAAAATAAATGTTGATGCTGTTGGTCCAGTACCAACTTCAAGAACTTGGAAAAAAATATATTATTACAGCTTTGTGTATGTCATCCAAATTTTCAATGCTGTTGCAGTGGCAGACATTCCTTTGTCTTCTCTTAAATAAATAAGAAAGATGAGCTCATAAACTTTCGAATTTCACAGACGTTTCCCTTCAGAAAACGTCTCTGTGTTCGGAGAGAGGTTGTAACGGCTTTAAATATTGTTGTTAAATTCTTGTGCAGTTTAAATAGATGAAGAATAATATATGTCTCAACGGCAATGTTTGAAATGCAAGCTCAAGAGTCGCATGCGGTTTTCGCACGAAGAAAGTATTTATTTTATTTTAAAAAGTTAGAATGCGTTTTCTCTTCTTGTTTGCAAGTCGCCTTTTTTTTTTTTTTTTTTCTGAGTGTATCTTCATCTTGTGACTTTAATGTGTTAAATAAGTCATTGCTATGTTCCATCAATGGAGTTTGCTTCAACTGCGAAACAAATATCACAATATGCATCCAGTTATAAAATGTCGAAAAAGGTAGACAATTTTGTAGAAATAATTTCTGCCCAAAGATTGAGAGGATTGTGTAAGTAGCAAAATAAAACATTATATGTAGCTTCCATCAAGTAAAATATCCAATTAATAATCAATATGTTTTAATTAAGGAAATAAAAAGTTTCAAAGCATTTCTGTAAAATTCAAGAAATTAGAATATCTTCTTTAAGACATGTTCACTTACGATTTATCAGACCCCTTCACATTTTTTTAACCACTGCTGGCAAAATAAAACACACATGTAAAATCAGGTATTTTCCTAGATTGGAACACCACGAGAAAAAACAAGTGAACATATTTTTCTCAGAATTCTAATTAAAGAGCCAACAATATTTTCTCCTTTTCATAATGAGCTCATCGTCAAATGCATTTCTACTTCCAAGAGCAAACTCGTTTAAAACATAACTGCTTCTGATTACTTTTGTTTTTAGACTTTCTAATACATGTATTCTGTGACAGACTTTTTGTTACTGTATTTATGATGCTTTAAACCTTTTAGTTTAAATTATAATAGTCTCTTACTACACCTGTTTCCTGAAATACATTTAGGCTTTCAAGTATAACACCTACTGCACATCTCCCTATTTTCCTTGTCTCAGGAAAATTCCTCTTTCGGGATTACTTCGCAAGATGATAACAATGCATTATTTGTAGTGTTTCTATAAAAAGTGCAAAATTTTCAGAAAGATATGAATGTAGCTATTTTAAACTAAATATTCTGTAGTTATAATATGAACATATTATTAACTTATTTCAAATTTACATTAAATATATATTATCACCACAAAAATTTAGCATATACTATTACCATTTAATATCTAAAAACCAGTGGCATAAAAAGTGCATACACATAAATAAGGACTTGAATAATTTTGTGAAACATTATCTTCCTCTATATGTTTCAGTAAAATATTAATATGTGTGAAAGCAGGTTTTTTTTTTTTTTTTTTTTAATTAATTTTAAAAATGCGTAACATTAAGACATGCCAAAATAAAACGTAAAATTAAGAAAAGCAACAACCTTATGTATCTCCTAGATTTTAGTCAAGACTCTATCAATTGCAAAGGCAAATGGATGCAACTTCTTTTTCATCAGGAACAAAGAAATCTGCAATGAAGGGAAACCCACGGTTGTATTTATACCCAAAAGTAGTACAGTCAAAAGTCGTTAATCCGGACTCTTCGGGACTTCGGCGATTCCGGATTATAGATCATCAGTTTAAATCTCGTAAGATGGCATGCAGAAATTCTAAAATTAAAAGTATGAAACCGTTTAGTTTATGAAATAAAGAACAATTATGATCTAAAGGGATCAAAATTGCAAAAAGAAAAAGCTTAATATTTATTATTTACTTATTAAACATTCTTTCAAGATAAGTTGTTTAAGTTTTGTTTCGTATGTGATAATACTTCTCTTAATTCTATATTAAACAGACATAATTTTGTTCAGTTACAGTTCCGCGTTCAAGTCCTATAATTGCTTGTGTCGAGAATACTGACTAATTTGTCATCGAAATTTTTTCGTTTTCAATAACCTCTGTCACTTTTCGCTATCGGAAGCGAATTATAATGATGAGAACTTGTTTTAAATCATATCAAAGACGGAGCACATCGAGATGAAATACTACATTGATAAGGAATTATAAGCCAATAAAATAAAAAAAACATCTGCCCTGAAGATAAGGATAGTGCTGACAGATCAACTTCCAATTCATTAGGCACACACCGCGACGAACCCCCCACCGAGCAGCGTGAAAATTGATAAACAGATTTCGGATTTCAAGACATACTTTCGCTTAGATCCTTTACATATTAACAAAATATATCGGAAATTCTATTGATATAATCGAAAGTTTAAACTTACTTTTATAAAATTGCTCTTACAGTCTGCAAAAAATAATAAGCCGGATCCAATTCGAAAATTAAGGATCAACGCAATCATCAACATTAACTGAAATAGATAATTATTTAGCTTATACATCCATTATACATAAAACGCGCACGCGAAAACGTATTCTGCACTTGCGCACACTCATATACGGAGTCGTAAAAGGTCTTACGCGCACGCGTAAACGCCTATGCGCATGTGTCAACGCGCCGCATGCGCAGAAAGTTTTTAGTTTTGAGGTCCGGATTATAAATCATTCCGAATTATGGGTGTCCGAATTAACGACTTTTGACTGTAAAAATAATGAGAAGATAATGCCATCTGTTGACAGAAATAATAACAAAAATTGAAAAGTTTAAGAATGTGAAATTCTTGAAGAAAATCCAATTCACCAAGCTTCAAGTGTTTTCTATTGGCAAATTTTCTTGAAGCTTTTTATATTTACAAATATTATCGTGTTTACTTAATAATTTTAATTCCAATGCAGTTGTTCCTAATGTTTGTAAAATTCTAGTAACTTAATTATTCTTTTTTTTTTTTTTTTTTTTTTTTTTTTCCCTCCTAGCAGATGGTGCTAAATTCTCATTCACTTTACTCCTTTTTGTATAAATACAACCATGGCTTTTCCTTCATTGCAGATTTTTTGCTTCTGATGGAGGATCTGCCCTCAAAATTGATAGTCTTGGCCAGAGCTGGACTTGATAAGGCCCTCAGCTATTTGAGATATGGAGCCCTTTATAAGTCTGTTATACTATATTTTAATTTTTTGGGAAGCCCCAAGAAAGTGGGGACCCTAAGCTATAGCTTGCATAGCTTATACGTAAATCCTGCACTGGTCTTGACTCGTCGGGACTTTGCGATTCCGGATTAGGGGTTTTTCGTATTATAGATCATCAATTTAAATCTGGTAAGATGGCATGCAGAAACTATACAATTAAAAATATGAAACCATAATTTATGAAATAAAGAGCAATTATGATCTGAAGGGTATCAAATTTTACACACACACACAAAAAAAAAAAAAAAAAAAAGCTTAATATTTATTTGTTTACTTTATTAAACATTTCTTCCAACGTGCAATATGTAAAGCATACATTACGCGAATGTGTAAAGTTTGTGTCTTTGAGGTCCGGATTATAGATCATTCCGGATAATGGACTTTGTACTGTAGTTGACACAACCCCGACATATTATTATAGTTCGACCTCCTCATCCGCGACAATGAGCGCAAACATGCATGTGCCATTCAGACCAAATTATTCTCAAAATAGGGTGGAAGGATGCGTACTTTCTTTTCCTCCAGCATAGCTCTTTCCGGAGAAAAGAAGACCTTTCACGTCGCAGCAAGTAATACTGCCCCTTTTGGACGAGTCTATGTGTTTTGACAGAATGCCAACTAGAGTTGCGCTTGAGATGGTCAAACTATAGTTTTCTCAGCCAGTCATATTTGATATAAGAATTAGTAATACTAAAAACTTGCTGAAATTCTGATAAAATGTATCATATTAAAGGACCTCCTTCAAAAATGTATTAGTTCTTCCAAAACTAAAAATATAGACTCTAAATTCATTATGAATAAACTATAAAAGTTTTTAATTTGTTGTTTGTATTTTCCTTAAGTATTTCATTTACTGTTAAATTGCTTTTAATAAGTTTTTCCACTTAATAATTTTTATGCATGAAATTGTTTTCATTGATGTAAAGAGCTTCTTAATTGGCTTCTTGTTTACTTAATTTATGCTATTTATTATATCACTTAAAATTTAATTTTTGTTTTTGAGGTAATTAATTCATGTGCTTCATAATTTAATTCTAAAATTAATTCTTTTCTATTGTTTGTTTTTAATCTTGTTTGAATAATATTTGTGTAATTTTCACTTCTTATTTTTTTGTAGGTATTCTCACGAGAAGGAAATATACCAAATGTCATATTAGCTGTAAGTTTTTAATGATAGTTTTTCTTTTCCCTGTAAATTTATACTTTTTTTTTTTTTAAACCTATAAGAGATGACATGTTAGGTGAAGAAAAAGTGTTAATATGTTCATAGTCAAACTAAGGATGAAATTAATGAAGTACTTTTACATCAATTAAAAAGTGAACTACAAAAATGGCAAAAATTAAGTATTGCAATAATATTCTGGTAATCTGCAACTGTTTAACTACAAATGCCTGTAAACTGTGTTCATTTTGAATGTAAATAAAATTTTAATTTTTAGTACAATTCAGCATAACAAACTTACCAGAAATTTTCTCTTTCTCTCTCTCTCTCTCTCTCTCTCTATATATATATATATATGTAATAAAACTGTTCCATTATATGTAAGAATACTGCATTATTATTGTGATAAGACTACATTATTAGATGAAATAAGATGACTTGGTGAGAGTTGCAACGGACTGGCTTGGAGAGGACTGCGACTTTGCTACGTAGTTAGCAAGATGACATTTGAAGAACACACATAACTGTAAATTCCACACATCATTTTATTTTTCGATAATGCACATTATCACTATGGGTGCGCTATGCACCCCACAATTTTCTACAGCTCACATTTTAAACAATGGATGAATTTAGAAAAGTAAACTTTGCATAGCAGCTGCCACAGCCAAAAGCAGCACAAGAGACAAGCGAAGAGAAGAAGAAGGAGTTGCGACATAATTAAGCTTTTTATATTCTGAATTCCATTTGAGATCATGTGACACTTTAATGTACAGGAGTTTGGGTTCAGAGCTCATCGGCAAGTGCCCATCAGAACTGCAGGAAGTAAAATTTATTGCTGTTATTTTTTTTTAGAATGAAACGGAAGTTATATGGCTATTAATTTATTATTTAAAAGCTAGAATTTATATTTTGCATATTAGATATTTTGTATTTTACAGTCAAAAGTCGTTAATTCGGACACCCATAATCCAGACCTCAAAGCTACAAACTTTCTGCGCATGCGCATAATACGTTTACACATGCGCGTTTAATGTATAACGGGCGGTATAAGCTAAGCTAAAATTATCTAATTCAGTTAATGTTGCAGATTGCGTTGTTCCTTCTAAATGGATCCGGCTTATTATTTTTTGCAGACTGTTAGATCAATTTTATAAAAGTAAGCATGTTTCGATCTCCATCAAACAAAAAGTGGAATTGCTTCAAAAAATGGATAAAGGCATAGCCTTTGCTTCTCTAACCATTCCGAAATATGTTTATCAATTTCACGCTGCTGTGCGGGGAGGGGGGTCGTCGCGCCGAGCAGTGAAAACTGGAAGTTGATCTGTCAGCACTATCCTTATCTTCAGGGCAGATGTTTTTATTTTATTTGGCTTATAATTCCCTACTAAATGTAGTATTTCATCTCGATGTACTCCGTCTTTGATATGATTTAAATCAAATTCCTCGTCATTATAATTCGCTTCCAATAGTGAAGAAAGTGACACAGAGGTTATTGAAAACGAAAAAGTTTCGATTGACAAATTAGCCAGTATTCTTGACACAGCAATTACAGGACTTGAACAGCGGAACTCTGTAACTGCAGAAGAAATTATGTCTGTTTATAGAATTAAAGAGAAAGTATTAGCATATAAAACGAAGCAACTTAAACAACTTACATTGAAAGAAATGTTTAATAAAGTAAACAAATAAATATTAAGCTTTTTTTTTTTTGGTAAATTTTGATACCCTTTAGATCATAATTGCTCTTTATTTCATAAATTACGGTTTCATATTTTTAATTTTATAATTTCTGCACGCCATCTAACCAGATTTAAACTGATGATCTATAATCGATAATCCGGAACCGCCGAAGTCCTGACGAGTCCAGATTAACGACTTTTGACTGTACATATACATTTAGGCAAATGAAAGAATCAGTTATTGCCATTTTAAATAATACTAATGAATGCAGAGCCAAAGTACAAGATATGACTTGTACAGATAGCAAAATTAATCAACGAAAAAAAAACAGTCCAAAGTCAAAGCAGTTAGCTCCACCTAATGAAGAGAAAACTACCAGTAACCAAAAAAATTAGGAGAATTGGATTAAAGAGTGCATAAAAAATGTATAAACCAAAAGAGTGCTTAAAAGATCTTTAGGTCAGCTTCTCAATCAGACATTGAACAACAGAACAGATTTGAAACCCTGCCCATAGAAGATGAAATGGAACATGAAACCATCAATGGTGAAACAGAGGATCATGAGAAAGCAGATGCTGTGGACTTCACTAAACCATATAAAAACAGCCAATTAAATATCTCCAGTTGTTGTTGCTAAAGAAAAGGTAAGTGGAAAGAGTTAAAAAAGCAAATTGAACCATTGTGCAATAAAAAAATAATAGTAGAAAATTTCAACATCAAAAATTTCACAATTCTGAAAATTATTGTAATGTTACCAGAGTTTTCAATGAAAAAGGCATTCCATATCATATTTATGCATTGAAATCTGTTAAACCAATCAAGGTTGTGTTGGCAGGGGCGATAAAGGTAAAGCATATTTTGCTTCCCTTCAATAAAGCTAAGACTAATCTAAATAAAAATTCATGCTTTATTCCGTAAATTAAAATAAAATAAGGTAACACTGTAGCCTTTTACATTTAAAATCATTTGAGTGAAAGAAAACTAGCATTATGTTAACTCATAATAACACAACATTCGGCGTACATATATATATAATACTCGGCCAATCTGCCGATCTTGACGTCATCGGCCATTCAGCGGCAACCACGTTAGCTTACCGCGGATTGACCTATGATCAAAATTTGCATAAGGAAAACTTAAAGCCAACAGGTTGTGATTAAGAAATCACCGTCAAACGCCAATATAGAAGAGCTAAAAGCTCAAAATATCCCATTCTTCAAAGTAAGCCAACTCACTAAATTTTAAATGATATTCCTCTTCCAATATTTCTAATGGAAACCTCTAGAAATGTGGAGGAGCAAAGAATATATGACTTAATATACTTTCTTAAATATAAAAGTTGTGCAGTTCAATGTCAAAGGTGTACGCGTAACCAAAACACATTTTATAACAACCCGTGATGCATGAAGTGCCTCTTATAACCTCGCATGGAATTTTGGGCACTCAAAAAAAGATGGTCCTGAAAAATGTATTTTATGTTATATGCATCACATAAAATATTTTATGTGATGCAGATTGTATTTCATCCTATAAGCACATTCAAAAGACACAAAAAGTACGGCCAGATATTCACAAGAGAAAAAACCAACTTCATAAATAAAACATAATGAAAATGAGTTTTTAGAATTAATTAAAACTTTGAAAACCAAAATTCATCTAGGATAAAAAAATTTTAAAGCAATCCATAAAAAAGAAATTGAAATTGCAACCATTGGCCAGTCTCTACCAGAATGGTCAGCAAAGGCCAAAAAAGTTATGGCGAAATATGCAAAATATTTCATTGCTAAACTTGAAATTGTTGCAATGGTAACTATTCTAAAATATGGTTTTAATTGTGCATTATCACACATCATGCGGGTAGGAAACTGTTTATATTTTCTTTTTCAAAACCAGCAGAATAAGGAAGCAAAAAATTGAACTTGCAAATTACCTAAATAAATACAACATTAATGTCCTCCTCATTAATGAAACACATCTCAGAAAAAGGGATCATTTTAACCAGGGCTGTGGAGTCAGAATCGGACTTAGGCAGATTTTTAGGGTAAAAGGAGTGGCAGCTGGAGTCCACTAAGAAACAAGTCGTCTTCGACTCCGACTCTAGTTTTGTTGGACCGTTTCAAATTTGAAATGAAATTAAAGTGAATTGAAAAAAAAAGTTAATGACAAACTGAGTTATTATTTTTATTTATGGTCTATATATACATTAATAAATAGTTATTTTCCATTTTATTGACATATTAAGTAAATATATATAAGCGAAGGGAATGCATGTGATATTTCCCATTCGTGATTAAACTGATTCATTTAGTTACTTCATTTACTTACAAATCTCACCTTGCTAAATTTAGATCAACAGCAATAGCAGCAAGAACTCTCAAAATTGATGCCATTCTTAGTAACTGAGCAGGAAAAGGAGCAATCATTGATCAAGCAATGTGATAAGGAAGTACATATTTGATGATAAAGAGGTTGTTAGAATTAAGAACTTTTTTAGAAGATGTAGATAACCCTAATGTTTTACTAGCAGAAAGACTGTGAAATGATCTTACAGAATTGGAAACTCTTCTTTCTACACCATATATAGCCACAAAAAAGCTGCAATCTGAAGAACTGACAGGAGGCGAGAATGGGATGTTTGTTATTTCTGAAATAGTGGTCTTATTGCAGAAGGAAAACTCTCTTCAATGAAGAAAAGAGAAACTAGTTTGCTAGATAATGAGATCTTCGTGGGTTCAATATATGTAGATCCAAAACACTGAATTTTGTTGGATGACAAACAAATTAAAAAGTCAAAGAAAGCCATCTGTGAACTTTTATTAAGAATGAAATTATGCTCAAAACAATTGGAGTATTCAAATCAGGACAATCAAACTGCAGACATTGCAACTAAGTCTCTATCATCCTCTTCCAAAGATGATAGATTTTAAGAAATATTTGGATAATTCTGAAGAGGTTACAGGATTATTATTGTTAAAAGGCTGGATGCTTGATTTAGTTCTGCTTTTGTTTTATTGGTATTAATTTTATTATGAATGGGGATGATTTTTTCTTCAATTATTCTCAGGAATGTTTCAGTTGTCCTTTTTGTAATTTTGTATTGTTTAATTACTGTTTAGAAGCTTTATTGTTTTATTATGAAAGATAGTATTCTGTGGTCAGGAATTATTGTGTCTTAAAAAATTTTTAGTTGAACATTTATATAGTCACTGAGGTGTTGTGAGGTCAAAGTAAAGTCCATCCAGCCTTTGCTCATTATTTTTTTAGAACTTTGGTATACCAGGCATACTACTGTGCAACATCAAGTTCTTTGCTGCAAGTCTCTTGGATTTTTTATCTGCTAATGATTCAGATTAAGTGTGAAAATTAGAAAGGGAAAAGTGTAAATAAGGTTACATGAATATGGGAAAACATGCAAGGCCTGTCGACCTGAGGGTAGATATAGCTTCCTGGAGTACTCTTTAACCTTTTGATGGTCATCAACAAGCTCAGCTTATATTCCAGTTTACAGTGGATGCAAATGAACACAGCTTTCATTACAAATTTGCAACTGACAGCTATAGCACATATTTTGGAAGAAAGAATTTCTCAATCTCACAGCCACCAAATGGTTAACAGACATTGGCTCAGATTCATGTTACATGTGAGGAAAACCACAAAAACGAACCACACAGCTAGCCTGTTTGCTTGGATTCAAACTCAGATTGAAATACCAGTATTCAGTGGTCGTAAACACACTCTGCCTTTGGTGGGGCAGAAGAAAATTTAAACGAAACTCAGAAAGACATGAGCTATAATCACCACAACCTTTGATCTCAGGGTGTGTGGATTATTTGAATTCTATTGTAATATGAATATTGCCATCAAAAAGTAGGGATGCAATAAAAAAAAAATTGGTTCAGTTGTTGAAATCTATTGGCATGAATGCGTTAAAGATGTAATCTTATGGCAGTATAATCTTAAGAATACTCCAACAAAGCATTTTAATGTTAGGAATGCATAGTATTTCTGAAAATGACCATAATTTAAATTAATAAAGACAGTTTCATTATTTTTTAAAAAATAAAATAAATATTCATTTGTAAGAGGCAGTATCTATTCAAATAGTAAAATCGCAGAGCTCTGTTTAAATGCTGCCATTTGAACTTATGAGTCTATTATTCTCTGTGTTATTTTACATGAAGTGGTCGTAAAATGCAAATAACTATTCAGTCATTTCTATGAAGTGTAATATATAAAATATACATTTCAGGCTTAAGTTTTACAAAGAATAATCAGTATACCATTCCTTATACACTGGTGAGCAAAATTAGAGGAGCACCTTTGTTAAGTGATTTTTATTCAAAATAGTTATCTAAATATTATCACATAATATTATCTATTATGTGAATAATGAAAAAAGAGCTGCAAAAATTTAACGCTTAATTCCATCTCCTCATCTGCAAAGAAGAATTTTTTTTTCTTTAAATAAATAAAATAATGTGATAAAAAGAACGTAATAATCTAAATTGAGAATGAAATTCCAAAAAGCATAAATTTTCTCCTTCATCTGTAAAGGTTGAGAAGAAAAGGGGTAACCAAGATAGAGACATGTACTTTAAAGTGGCTTGAAGTATCTTCTGCTGCTGAATATAATAAATACACTCTAGAAGAATATGATTTACATCTTCATCAGCACTACTGCAGCTGTGCAAACACTTGAATCAAGTCCAAATTACTTTAAATATTTCTTAAAATTGCAGTGTTCTGATAAAATTTGAGTTACTTTAAAAATCTGTTAAAAATTAAACAACTTTTATTCTTTATTCTTATTTATATATATTTACTAGCAGTTGTTTGTAGTCACTGAATCACCTGCTTCCTTGATTTTGCTGAGCAGTGTATTTCCAAATGGGAAATATTCGTGATATCTTGAGATTGTTTTTTATTGTAAATTTAATTTTCTATTTATTAAATGATATTTCTAATTATAGGGGCCACCTGGAGTTGGAAAAACAACTACTATTTTATGCTTAGCAAAAATAATGTTAGGTCCCTGCTTTAAAGATGCTGTATTGGAATTAAATGCTTCAAATGACAGGTAAACACATTTATAACTTCTGTAGCTTTTAAAAAATCTTAATAAAATTACATTGTTTTGAAAAAACATCAAAGCAGCTTGAAAGCACAATTAAATAAACAAGAAGTATGACAATTACAGGGTTGCCACGCTACCTGGAAAACCGGGAAAAGTAAGGAATTCGAAAATTGACCAAAATATTCAGGGAAAAGTCAGGGAATTTAAGTATTTTTGTCAAAATCTGGAAAAGTCAGGGAAGTTCATACAACGATCCCGCCAAAAAAAGCGATTTTTGCGCTGACGTCGGAAGAGGTAACTTTTTTGGCGAATTATGTATCACGTGAGTGTCATTCGGGTAGCTGGCATAGAGCCAATTTTCGCAGCTCCAATTTGATTGTCTTTTAGAAAGGCAAAGCAACTTTCCCGCAACTGTTGGTTTCCAATATTCTCGAGAATCGCATGTGCAGTGCATGAACTAAAGAAAGTACCTGTTCTCGTATAAAACAAAATGGGTTTAATCCTAGTATACGGTACCATGGAGGTTAGAATCAAAGAATATGTATTGTAAAGAAGGAAAACCTCTCTGCAACAGACGTGGCTGTGGCTCCGTTTCCATCATAGAGGGAAAACAGCTGTGCATGTCTGATATATCTGTCGCCAAAGCTCGAAACCGGTGTCGAAGTTCGAAGGTCACGTTATCAAGAGTTCATAAAATGAATATCGTTTAAAATTTCTTTAACCACTTGCGCTAAAAAGACGTGCCACGCACGCCAAGATGCTTTTGTCTCAAACCGCGAGCGACGTGAACACCACGTCGATAAGCATTTATCGCAAAAATGAAAATAACGTGGTGCAAACGTCGCCTAACAACGAGATTGTTTATTTCTCGAGTTACAGCTCTGAATTGCACTCGCAGATGCGGAGCGGCGTAAATGAGACACTTTACGACTTGTTATATTGTAGCGCACGGCACCGCAACTGTGAAGTTTAGTCTTAGCGCAAGTGGTTAAACTCTAAAGGAAAAGAAAATATTTTTTGGCGCAAGTAAATTAATTCATGGATTAGTTATTTTCAGGGGAAAAAAAAAAACTACGAAAATCCGTTTTTAAAATTATTGCGAAAAATCCAAGAAGAAACGTCCTTTGATAAGACGTTTCTTCTTGGATTTTTCGCAATAATTTAAAAACGGATTTTCGTAGTTTTCTTTTTGTTAAAGAGCGTTTCTTCTTAACACGTGTTTCTCAATTTCCTGTACACATCGCGGAGAGGGAAATTCTGGCCGCCAGGTTCCGTCGCCAAATCCCTTGGCAAATTTTCCCTCCGCATTCTAGCGGCGTAATAGCATTACTTGTATGGAACCTTTTCTTCTTTACATATACGTTCTTTGGTTAGAATAATAATGGGATTTGGCGACATCTTGATGCGCAGTAAACGGGTCATTTTCGTCTTGGCGACAATTTTCAAAATCGTGCCAAAGCCTTACCGTATACTAGAATTTCACCGCAAAATCTTTTTAAACCTTTTTTTTTTTTTTTTTTTTCTTTAATAAATACCTTGCCATTTTGCAGTAAAATAAAAAAATAGTAATCAGTCATCTAGGCTAGCCATGTAATATAACTATATTCACTAAAATATCGTTGATTATTCTAATTCAATTTTTAAGTAATTATTTTTATGTTATTCATATAATTTAATGTTGCTTCTTCCCTCTAAATTTATTTATTATATTAGTAAATATATTTCCAAATTTCAGGAAATTTTCTCTGGCATAATCCTGAAATTAATTATAGCAGTATGATGACATACCATCACAAAATTTAATGCACATATTTTTTCCTTATGTATGCTGCGAAATAAATATAAAATACCTCAATTTATTAAAATAGATTTCTTTCTTTTGTTTAGCTGCATAATGTCTGCAAAAAAAGCCTTATTTTATTCCAGATTGGGAAGATTCTAATCTCAATCTTCAGTGGAAAAAACAACAACTATTATAATTATATTTGTGTTTTCAAGTGTTAAGGTGCCTTTTAAGAACATACCTCACGCAAATTAAATTTACCTAAAATCTAACCTAACTATTTAGCATTGCGTTGTGATTTATAAGGACCGGATTAGCCTCATGTTGAACTGGTGATGATCATGAGTAATAATTAAATAAAACATACATTTGTTATCCAATATATATATCTTAAATTTTATTAAGTTTCTTAAGTGGAAAACTAAACAAAATTATCAAACAAAGTATACCAAGAATAATTAAGAATAAATGTCCTCTGGGACTTATTGAATAATTAAGTGAATTTGCTACACTTAATTATTCAATACAAGTAATACCATAATTAATTTACCTCTTAGCACAACCAACGTACATTACGCGGATAGACTGGAATTTTCTTGAAACACACCTGGAAAACCTGGAAAAGTCAGGGAATTTCATTCTCCTGTTTGAGTGGCAACCCTGCAATTAGTATGCAGTCTCCAGTCTTCATTCTGTAAATGGTGGATCTAATGCCATTACACAATATGTGGAAGATCCTACTTATTAATAAGATAATATTAGGGAGCAGCTTTTATTATTGGGGTATACAAAGATGGGAATCATCCCAAGCAATCACTTACCATATTGGGCATATAAATGCTGATGAAGAATTGTAGTGGTAGATTTCACATTAATATCAAAACTGTTCACAGTACCCAAGAAGTATGACTGCAAAGGCAAGATTGATTTATTGTGTAGTGGACTATAATCACATCAACAATATTGTTGCCCACAGTGAGATGCTTTGCTTCATCATGTGTTCACCTGTAATCTCATATACCATTTCACATTATCTGACAGATAATGGATTATATTGAAGGCTTCTTTGTCACATCACCCATTAATGTTATCTACTGATAGCATTGATTGGAGGTGTGGAAGAATGCAGACTGGAAATATATCATCTTCAGTGATAAATCACACTTCCATTCTTTTGCAGTTGACTATTTAAAACAGTTGTGAAGGTGACAAGGATTTCAGGGCTAACCTGATTGTATTTTGCAGCGTCATGTTGCCATTACTTCCTGTGTAATGGTATGGAGGGCCATCTGCTACAACAGCAAGTTCCTCCAAGTAATTATTCATACTCAAACAGATCAATGATGCATAGGTGACATCCTGTAACCAGTTTTGTTGCCTGTCACAGCTGTAAGATACTCTTGTAGAGCAAGATAAAGGTCTTGTGCCATACATTTTCTATTAATTCTCTGACATTTTTTTATGATGCATCCATACGTGCTGTGCAAACCCTTCCTTGGCCAGGAATTTTTCCAGATTTCTCATCAATTAAACAAATTTGAGACATGCTGGAGTTATTCTACTGGACTTGCAAGTCCAACAGAATATCTGACAACAAGAGCAACAATAGTAAAATATCTGACAAAACCTTCAACAGAAAGAATAACATATGTACACTTTTATACTGAGCTATAAAGCAGCATGCATCATAGCTAGAGGAGCTTTTGCATTTTACTGATTAATTCTTTATCCTGCAATAAAATCAAGTGTACTTTTATGATTTCAGGTTTTATTTATTTATTTAAGTATATTACAGTATTCATCTCTTATTAAAAATCAGTTCCTTTTCAAACATATTTGTTATATATAAACATATTTCATAAGTGGTTATCAATTTTAAACTTATTTAGAAACAAAATAAAAAAAAACCAACTTCGCCAGTGAAAAGTTCAGCCAAACCTTTTTTATTTCAACACTACATGCCAGAATGATAAGTAAACCACACTTCTCAATAAGTTAAATGGATGAACTACAAACAGCTTTGACAACTGCCAGTAGGATATTATGGCACTGAAATATCAGTCTTTTAGTAATCTGAGTGCTAAAAGTATTGAAAATGAATTTAATAAATGCCGACTAAGTATATGTCTGTTTTGATCTTGGAAATTTGAATATGATTAGTAACTGATTTTATTAACCTATGAGTTTAATAAGTTTTGAGTACTGTAATTATGACTTAATTATCTTATTTCATATCATAAGAATGGAGATCAAAAATGTTTCTCTTCTATAATTATAATGTTATATAATATTAACTATTTTTAAAATTATAATCTATGAGATTAAATTAGTCACTTAACAATTGAAACAAGAATATTAACTTAGGAAAAAAGACATAAACATTTATTTATGGTATTATTTTCATAGCAGTGCATAGAGAAATTATTAATATAGCATTTTCCCTCTTCTGTTTCCCTCCTTGCATTCTATGATATAGAAATTATAAATATCAGGTTTTAACAAAAGTTACCTGCCACCACAAATATCATCTGCACAAGCAGTTCATGTTGGTGTGTTTAATCATATTTTGTCAATTTGTTTATATTTTGGCATTTGAAAGAAAAAGAAACGTACTTTAGAACACTGTGTTGTGCAATTTGTAAAAAAAAAAAAAATATCAATATCATTAAGTACAAGGTGTCTGAAATGAAACTATCACACTACCACATTAGAACCATTATTTACTTTCAATTCTGTTACAAAAAGTCAGCCATAGAATGTCACCAAATCATGTGTATAGCTGTAGGTACTAATGTTGTATCATATGACACTGGGAAGGTTTCATATCGAAAGTTCAAAAACAAGGACTATGACATTTAAGAAGCAGAGTGCTCTGGCTGGCCTACTGATGTTGGTTTATGAGGCCCACCTGCGAGAACTTAAGGTAGAAGATCAGTATGCAACCACTCAAGAGCTTGCTAAGGGGTTAGACGTTAATGCCGTATCCATTAGTTGCACTATGCATTGCATAAACTTGACATGCAAGTTCAATCGCTGGGCGTTGCATGAGCTCTGGTATTATCCACAAAGAATAGCTGAAAAAAGGTAAAACCTTTGACAATAAGGTGTACAGAGGGATGCTAGTCTGTGTTGACGCTGCTATCAACGAAAAACATCGAACTGAATTCCGATACAAAAAGGTAATGTTCCATCAAGATAATGCAAGACATGTGTCTGCATTCACTAGCTGGACTCTGCATGGACTTGAATAGAATCTTTCACCACACCCACCATATAGCCCCGACATCACTTTTCAGACTTCTACTTTTTTCACACTTTCAGCCACATCTTGCTAGTGCTATCTTCCATTCTGCATAAAACATCCAAAATGAGGTTGATCTGTTTTTGGACTCGTGGCCACAAAGTTTCTGGGCCAAAGGTTTTGAAAAACTACCAAAACGTTGGCAGAAAATTATAGGTTTGGGTGGTGATTACTACTCGCAATAAAGGTACTGCTTTCATGTTTTTTTAACCTATTAAGAGTGTTTTTTGGTGGGAAACTTTTGTTACCCGATATTTCTTGCATGACAAGAATGGTGAGGCATGATATGAGTTTCTATTGAGGCTTTGAAAAACTACCAAAACACTGGCAGAAAATAACAGATTCAGGTGGTGCACTAAATGCGTTGCTGTCGTGTTTTCTTTTCCCCTAACTTTATTAAGAATGTTTTTAAGAACGCAGAAAACTTTCGTTACAACCAGATATAACGTTTTCCCTTCTCTTCTGTTTCCATATTTGCATTTTGTGATACTGTTATTAAATCTGATTAGTAAAATTGGGAAGTTAATAAAGCATGTTAATAAATTATTGTATTTATATGTTTTTATTATAAATTTTTATTGAAATGCTAAGTAATAATAAATTTTCCATCAATTTTATAAATATTTTGTTCCATTTATTAGAGGGATTGATGTAGTTAGAAATAAAATCAAGATGTTTGCGCAACAGAAAGTTACTTTGCCAAAAGGAAAACATAAAATAATCATTTTGGATGAAGCTGACAGGTATTCATTTTTTTTTCCTATTTATATTTAAATTTAAAGAGTGTAAAGTTATATTTCTTGATGAAATGTTGTTTGCAGATATCAAGCTGTTGGCCATAATGCTCTCAAGGAAGTGCAGTTGTCTAAATGTTCCTTAAAAATTTGTCCAGATATGTATAAAACACAAAAACAAGATTCAACTGAGCTAAAAATTAATCAGCATGTAGACAGTCGTGTCCTGCCAAACATCTTAAACAAAACAAAATGAGGATGGTCTCAGAACAGTATCTGTCTTTAAAGAATATAATTATTATATTTTACAGTATAAAGTCCGAGATCTGGGTGTCCAATATTCAGATTGATCTAAAATCTAGACCTTAAAGCCACCAACAAAAAATTTTTAATGCTTTGCTCATGCGCATTTGATTGTTTTCCTCTTGAGAAAACATGTGAAGAATTCGGATTCTTAATTTCATTTCAGCACTAAATAAAACACCTCATTATTAAAGAATTCATTTTAGCATAAATTTGTTTGTGTTAAATGTTCTTGGCTCCGTAGCTGCATATCTGCTTGGCATACATTTCAAACAAGAATATTCTGCATAGAAACATCGTTGATTTTACAACTGCTAATATTTTATATCTGTGACGCCAACCTGGTGAATTATTATTTATTATATTTCACTTTCATAACCGTATGTTTATCAACACTTGACAACTTAAGTAATGACTCCTGCAGCAATGCCTAAACAATTTTTTTATATTAGTAATTGAATAACAAAGATTATGGAAACCTTTTATGTTTATGATTACATTTGGCAATGAATACAGATGCGCTAAATGTTGCCAAGGAAAAATTTTTTTAAAATGTTCCTCTTTTTACTTATATTTAGTTAAATTACTTTGCTTGCAATATCTGTTAAGGGGAAACTGTTATACAATGAAAATTTAGAAAATGTTCAGAATTTTGATTTACGTTAAATAATATGAGTGGAGATGCTAAGCAAATATAATAAATATGGCTTATTATTATTTATTTTCTCTATTTTGAACTGAATTTCATCATTATCTTGTATTATAGTTTAGTTCTGCATAGTTCCCCCCCTCTCATTGTAAACTAGTTCTGTAAATTGAACTGTTATCTAAAATTTAAAAAAATAATAATAATTGTTTTCCATAGTTGAGTGATGTTCATTCTATCTTAATAAATACTGAATTTCTCATATTTTAAATTACAGATCTAATTTTTCTTTTAAGGTTATGCAATTGTGTATAATGTAATTAGACAGGTGCTTATTTTTTTCCCTTAAAAATGTGTTTGAAAAGTGCTTATTTTTTTAACTAAAATGTGGCTACTAACCCTGAGTAAGATGGCATGCAGAATTTATAAAATTAAAAATATGAAATCATGATTTATAAAATAATGAAGCATTTATGATCTAAAGGGTAACAAATTTTACAAAAAAGAGCCTAATAATTATTTGTCTATTTTATTAAACATTTCTTTCAATGTAAGTTGTTTATATTGCTTTTTTGTACTAATATTTTCTCTTTAATTCTGTACACAGACGTAATTTTCATCCTTTAATTTTGTTGCTCGGTGGATCTCTAATATTCCAAAAATCTTGTCTTCCCTAAATTCTGCCACCCAGTGCAGCCGTACGAGTTCTGGCACCAGTTCTGGGTTTATGTGAAAAGCAAATCAGTTATTCTGAATTCAAATAGCACTATAAATGTAATCTTTTGGCCTATGATTATCATTAACAAAATCTATTTTTAGCATATGGAAAGGAATTTTTGTTAAATGTTCCTCATCAATATTTCTTAGCGCATTTAACTTAAATCTGTAATCATTGCCAAGCGTAATATTGTTAACATAAAAGGTTATCATAGCCCTTTGTACTATATAAAAAATGTTTTGGCATCACTGCATAAGTCATTACTTAAGTTGTCATGTGCAGTGCAGAATTTACGTGTAAGCTACACAAGCTATATCTTAGAGTCCCCGCTTTCTTGGGGGCTTCCACAAAAGCATATTTGGCGCTGACATATTACGAGGGCCATCCAGGAAGTAGATTACGTTTCCGTCTGTGTCCGCTAGGGGCGGGGCTAGCGCAGCCATCTTGGGGTCAGAGCGTTGCGCAGCTCAGTCTGCATCTAGCCGTGCTAGTGAGAGGTTCGTGCTGTGCTCCGTTCAGATACTGTGACGGTTTGAAATGTCTGCGTTAATTGAAAATCCCGCGAGCTGCGAGGTGCACTCAGTAATAAGGTTTCTGACTGCAAAAAAACTGTAAACTGATAGAAATCTATCGGCAGCTTCGTGAAGTGTATGGGGACAACATTATCACTGAAGGTGGAGTGCGTCAGTGGGTCATAAGATTTCAAAATGGCCGAACCAATGTTCACGACGAAGATCGAAGTGGGAGACCCAGCATAGTGACCGCCGAACTTCTCGAAAAAGTCGATGCTAAAGTCCGTGAAAATCGAAATTTCACAATAACGGAACTTTCTTTGAGTTTTCCACAAATTTCGCGAAGTTTGTTGCACGAAATCATCAGCGAAAAGCTTGGTTACCACAAGTTTTTATGCAAGATGGATTCCAAAAATCTTGACAGAGGACCACAAAAATCAGCGAATGGCTGCAGCGTTGAACTTTTTGGACGCTTACCATAAGGATGGTGACTCTTTACTCGATCGCATCGTTACTGGTGACGAAACATGGGTGAAACATGTGAACTGTGAAACGAAATTGCAATCAATGCAGTGGGGGCACACAAGTTCTCCCCAAAAACCCAAGAAATGCATGCAAACAATGTCGGCAAGGAAGATGATGGCGACTGTTTTTTGGGACAGAAAAGGTGTAATTTTGGTGGACTTCCTGGAAAGAGGCACTACAATAAACTCTCAAAGGTATTGCCAAACTCTCCAAAAACTCAGAAGAGCAATTCAAAACAAGCGCAGAGGAATGTTGAGCTCTAAGATCTTGTTGATTCACGACAACGCCCGGCCCCACACGGCAAATGTCACTCGTAAAGTTCTTGAATCTTTTAAGTGGGAGTTGTTTCCTCATCCGCCGTACAGTCCCGACCTGGCACCGAGCGACTTCCACCTATTCCCAGCAATGAAGAAGTGGCTGGCTATGCAGCGTTTTGATGACGACGCACAGCTGCAAGAAGATGTAACGAAGTGGTTGAAGGCGCAGGCGGCCGAAATTTTTCGACGAAGGAAGGAATTTCCAAGCTCGTACATCGCTACAATAAATGCCTTAATTTGTATGGTGACTATGTAGAAAAGTAGTATTTGAGTGTGGCTTTCATCTGTATATAATAAAATTTGTTTCCTATACTTTGTTTATTTTTTTATTCCAAAACGTAATCTACTTTCTGGATAGCCCTCGTATATCTGGACTTATAAAGGGCTCTATATCTCAAATAGCTTAGGGCCTTATCAAGTCTAAATCCGGCCCTGGTCATGTGTTGATAAGCATGTGGTGATGAAAGCAAAATATAATAAATACTGATTCGTCAAGTTGGCGTTAGGGGTATAAAATATTAGTAAGTTTAAAATAAGCGATGTTTCTGTCTAGAATGTTTTGGTTTGAGATACATGCCAAGCAGATACGCAACTACAGGACCACATTATTGATCACACAAATTTATGCTAAATTATTGTTTCTTCAATAACGAGGTATTTTATTTAGTTCGGAAGGGCAATTAAGAATCGGGATTCTGCATAGGTTTCATTTATTGGGGGGGGAATAAAATGTATGCATACATAACGCATTTAGCAAAAAAAAAGTTGTTGACAGTTTTGAGGTTCGGATTTTAGATCATTCCGGATGTGGGGAAAAGTTCTTGATAATTTCAAAATTTTTCAAATTTCAACCATGTGGTCTACTTCATTCATCGTATTATTAGAATCCATTACAAGTTTATGTTTTTCTTTTGTTTCTGAGTGGACTTGAATTTGTTTGAGTATCATGAATTGTAGGCAGTAATGAAACATGCATCCATTGCATCACGGTAATCTCTGAGAAGCTACGATTTCTTCTTTTTTTCAGTTTCCTTTTCTGTTCAGGTGTCTTGTGCTGCAAGTGTTCATTCAACATGAAATAAATATGTCTGCTAATTTCAATGAAGAATAATAATTGTCTCTATTAAAAAAAATAACCTTTATGAAGCAATGGATTCATCATTGGAATGAAATGCAAAGATCAGAATACTCAGATTTCAGGATTGTATCTTTTCCTGCGTAAATTGCACAGCGTTAAACATTTTATTCCAAATCTAGCTCTTTTTATGGGAATAAGTTGCTTCCATCCAAATCGTCCCTTGAGTAGCATAAGGCTCTCATTCATTGTAACATCACATTGGTGTCACCATCTCTCTAAATTTTTTGTTTAGATGTTTAGTAACTGGCTATACTTAACAATATGGAGCAATTGTGATTTTGTGTATCAAATACTGAATTATCAGGGAAATGTAAGTGGTGTTGCAAAAGATGAAATCAATAATGAAAACATTTTTTTAGGGGTAAAAGGTGTATAAGAGGAATGTCCAAATTTGTTTCTTCCTAAAATTTACTTCTTGAAAAGTGTTTTGTAACTTTCGATTCAATACACTGTTTAGCATAAATATTTGTCTCTTCAAAAATTTTATCCATAAGAAATATATCAATGAATGTTTCATAAAATTGTAAAACATCCAAAATATTGTTAACATTGGAGGATTTTTCACATCAGTTTCAGTAAAATTTTTAACAGAATTCAAATCTTCATCACATAAGTCACATGAAGAAGGATCCAGGCAACAGAAGGACATCTCTGAATCTTAGTCAGAATTCAATTCAGCCTCTAGCAACAAATTTTTCCATTATTTACTTTCACAATTCATCACATTTTTCCATAATTGACACTAGAAAAATTCTGAAGTAAGACAGCTTCAATTCGAAAACCTTGAAAATAATAGAGAAAAGTTACATGAGATGGGAAAAATTCAAGCTCAACAAAAAAAATATGAACAGAACTTTTGTAATAACATGGTGAAATTGTGCCATCTATCAGTAGATATTGAAATTAAAAAATTTGTATATGTAATAAAAATGTGGGCAAATCAAAAAAGGAAACTCGGAAGATATCAATTCCTGTATGCTGTATGGGCAAACCAGTTGAGGCCAACTTTAAGTAGCCCGTGCACTGTATGGGCAAATCTATTAAAGGGTTAATATAAACAGTGCAAAAATTCAAGATTAAAGACTTATTCAAAATGGCCTGTAAAACAGACCTTGAATCTGAGAGGATGATATCTTTAACAAATTCTTGTTATGTGCATCTGCTGAAGGGCAATAAAACTAACCTTGATTTCACTGACAAAATAAGTTGTGTGTATTTGAACAGGTAAGCAAAAAGAAAACCAATCACTAAAAACACCTGCATGAGCTGTATCATCTCGACCTAAAAAGGTGAAACCTTAAATCATAATCATAATGGTTTTGAATAATTTGCATTGCTAAAGCACAAATTTGTTAAGGATACATTTCCTTTCTATTGATGGCAGAAATAAGATTTTATTATGCATTTTCAATTAACTGAATCTCTTTCAAGAGAAAATCTTAAACTTCATGCAGTTTAAAAGATATTCAGGAGGAGAATTATTTTTCTCATAAGGCATTGTAATCTTTGGCTGTCTTAAAAACATCCTGAATGGAACTACTGTGGGTTTTTAAAATTTTTATTTTCACTGCATAATAATTCTGTTAATAGGAATTAACAAGGAGCTTAATAAGTTTTGGGTGGAGTAAAACTCCTTATTTCTCCATGTCATCTTTGTAAAGTCATGTTTGTCAAGCATAGTGTGATCACGTATAATTTTAACAGCTCCTTTCATCAATAGGAGAGCTTGGTATAAATGTTTCCAGTTTTCCTATTGCTATTCTAGCTATGATAAACATTTCACAACAATAAAGGTATATATAGGTTGAATATACAGTTTATAAATTAAGATTAAGGCATTGTAACCACTTCTTATTCTATTGTATTCGGTCCTATTGAAATAAAAATTGAGCTTGTAAGTTAGGTAAGTGGTACCATCCAAAAGTTGAATTTTATGGCTTTGATTAGAGCAATTAGCTTTAAGATTTTTCTATTTTAGATGATAAATTAAGGTGTTGTCATTTACCATGATTTTTATTGTGCACTAATTCTTGAACTTCTTGTATTCCATTGACTCATTCAGACATCTTGATATTGTTTTGTTACTACTTTTCACAAGACCAAATAATCTGTAAACAGAGCAAACTTAACATTATCTTCAGACTCCAAAAGCTTGAGGAGATTATTTATGTAAATGTAGAAAAGTGTTAGGGTGAAAACTATACCCGTAGAAAATCAAATGGTCTGTATTTGAAGTTGCCATGTTAATAATAAACTATATAGAATCTCTGACCAAAGAAGTCTTTGGTCCAAGAAATTGTGTTCCTATTACTCCAAATCTTTGTTCTCTACACCCTTTCATGTGCATATTTAATGTCTATAAAAGTAGCCAAAATTAAACATTGTTTATTTAATTCATTTTTAAGACACTTGACTACTAGTGGATAATGGAATGCCTGGACCCAACTTGACATGTAGATGGTAGATTATTTGTTTCTGGATGCAATCTAAGTAATAAAGCATTATTTCCTTAGCTTTAGCTTGAAGTTACTTGAAGATTGATTGGTTAAAAGCTTTTTATAGTATCTGCTGGTTTTTCCTTTTCTTAATTAATAATTTCGTGGCTTTATTTCTTGATACCAGGGACATTTGTTTTCCTTTTAAAAACTCTGGATGGAGAAGTATGAGCAAGAACTCTTATTGGTCTTAAGTTCTACAAGGCCCTGTTCCATTACAGTAAAATCAAAAACAAAAATCTAGTGTTTAGTTGAAATAGACAAAAGTTGTCCAATCTTCTCTTTATAGATTTTAACCATATCTAAGAATTCTACTAAGATGCTGAGTCTGCAGTAAACAAGAAAAAAAAAAAAATATTTGAAATATTTTTTGTCATTCTATTCAAGAATTTACTATGAACCTTCACTGGCTCTTTAATACCAAATTAGTTAATTTTCTTTTAACTTGCAAACAAATTTTAAACCTGCTGTGTATAATCTAAAGTGATCTGTCTGTAATTAGTCTTTTTAATGAATGTATCAAAACAACTATGCTTTGCCATGTATATTTCTTTTTAAATTTAAACAAATTTAAATTCTAAAAAAAGGAAAAAATCCAAAATAATTTAAAATAATTTTTTAAAAATGTGCAAACATGTAAAAGATTTAATTCTCGAACTCATCTACAATATCATTTAAATTCAGAAGCATAAGCAAATCAAGTGCAAAATCTATCCATGAAAATAAATCTACTAATTTAATGATAGTCTAATTTATGCATATTCGTGTAGGGGAAGTTCCTGTAGACAAGGATTTCTAAAATACATTGGTTTCTAGATTTTTTTATTATTTTATAAAAAATTAATTTTTAAAAATTTAATTTTTTAAGAAAAAGTTTAATTCTTGACTTTACTTGCTTGTTACTCAAATGACTTCATTAGTATTTTCCTTTTTGAACTTTAATTCTTAAATGTTAATGCTTAAATGTTAATTTCTAAGTATACCACTTTATTGGAATTACTTTTGGTTTTGACTTTTACCCTTGCCTGCATGAATGACGAAACACGAATTGAATGATTGGAGAGTTAGGTTTGGAGGCAACTTCCCCTTGATAAGTCTGTCTCCTGCCTACTCTATGGTCATTCACATATGAAATTTTTAAAAAAATTGTTTAATTTAATTTTAATTTATTAAATTAGTAGATTTATTTTCATGGATAGATTTTGCACTTGATTTGCTTATGCTTCTGAATTTAAATGATATTGTAGATTAGTTCGAGAATTAAATCTTTTACATGTTTGCACATTTTTTTAAAAATTATTTTAAATTATTTTGGCTTTTTTTCCTTTTTTTAGAATTTAAATTTGCTTTTTTACTTTTATACGTATTTGTTAAGAATTTAAATTTGTTTAAATTTAAATTTCATTCCTTGCAGCAATGGCGCAAAGAATATTTAATTAAATATGTATTTAAATGTAATTTTTTAATTAAATTCAATTTATTCTTATGAAACTATTTCTCTTTAAATATATTTTTTTATTGTCATGTATATTTTTCCTTTTTTTATTATTATTATTTTAAAGCATTCTCACACCATTTTCTCCAATTCTTAATAGCTTCATACCTTTTGGATCGTACCTCTATAATTCTTGATGAATACTACAAGTTTTTAATTCTTCTGAAGAATCATTACAAAAAATTTAATTCTGCCCCTGGTCTTGGATTTCAATTCTTGACACTCCATAAAGGTTTCTACAGAATAACTTAAAATCTGCATCTATACATCTATCAAACAGTTTTTCTTAGTATTGAATATTACTAAAAATATGCTCCAATTCATTACAAATCGCTTCTTATTTTTCATTTTTAAAACTCCATCTTAATCTGTGTTGAGGTTGTAAAAAATGGTCTGGACCATCACTGAAAACGTGGCATGATGTGTTGAACCATGGCCATAATTTCTCGTTTAGTGTTTTCTCTTGTTAATGTCCTAAGAGATTAAAATAAGATCTTGAAGAAATTTCCCATAAAATGTGCATGTATACTAATTTATATTTTTAGAAAAAAATGAATTTAATAAAATATAGGTCAAAAGTTAAAAATACATGCATTTGTTTATGAATAATTTAAATATTCTCCTGTAAGAATATATATTATTCCTAATAATGCCTTTTAAAAGCTTTTAAGAAAACATTTTACATTCATCAAAATCTCTTCAGCTAGGTACGCAACAATTTTAATTTCAGTTTAATATTTCCTCAAGTATTTTAAATACCTTATCTCATAAACTTTTTAGTCTTTCATTTGTTTCTTGTTTAATAAATTTTGTTATATAAATAATATCTGTAATTGTTGTATATTTATTTTAATTCAATTTATTTAAAATTCATATTTGCAATTAAATGCGATATAATATGTTTGTTTCTTGACAAAGGAAACATATGTCATACTTTTTCAAAATCCTTTAGATTTTTCATAAAAGCAATATCAATATAAGGGGTTCTTATGCTTATTTTTAAATTCCCTGGTGGTGTGGTACTTCATTTATCATATGCACCTTGTAGTATGTTTCAAACTAAAATTATATTGTATTGAAAATGTAGTCCTAAAATTTTTAAGTTAATCTTCTCCCTCCCCATGCATGTGGTAAATGTTTTTTTAATTAAAATGTGAGGACTTTTTTTAACAAGTGTGTTATTTAGTACAATTTTCTGTTTGCTACAAATTTTATTTTAACTGTTTTCTTTTAATTATAAAAGCATGACTGAAGGAGCTCAGCAAGCCCTGCGGAGAACCATGGAAATTTACTCAAAAACTACTCGATTTGCCTTAGCATGTAATGCATCAGATAAAATTATTGGTAAGAAATAATGTTTATCATTCAAGTTCATTGATACATGTTTTAATAATTTTGCTTAGTTAAATTTTTGTTTGATATTTAAATTTGTTTAATATTTGTTTTTGTTAAAAACAAATAACTTGAGTCAAAACTTATGTTACAGAGCCCATACAGTCTCGATGTGCTATGGTGCGTTTTGGTAAACTTTCAGATTTGCAGATTCTTGCAAAAATTATTGAAGTTTGTAAAAAAGAAAATGTGAGCTATACTGATGATGGTCTTGAAGCATTGGTTTTTACAGCACAAGGTGACATGAGACAGGTATAAATTATATATATAAATTAAGAGTATTTTTATTAATTTATTTCTGAAAACTTTCGAGCATTTCATGTCTGCTATATGTTTTTTGCTTATTGCTACATTTGTATCAGAATGTTTTGTAATATGCACTTTAGGTAGGGAATAAAAAATTTTTGATTTAAAATGAAGTGAAAAAGTAGCCATAGTTTGGCGTAGATTTTGAATAACCTCTGTTTAGTTTCCGAAGTAATCAGGTGCAAATTCCTCTTCTTCACGAGGGGGGGGGGAATTGCAGTGTTTATTAAACTTTTCAGTAAAGATTTTTGAGTTGAATATTTATTAAAAATTTATTGTGAAGAAAAAGACTGTCTGGAATTTTCAATTACATAAAGATTCGAGTTTCCTAACTTTTGCATTGTCTGAAGGTTAATTGTATAAAAATAATTTTGATACATTTATTGCTGAATAAGAGGGAAAACTATTTTTCTTATATAAAACTTATTTGATTAACATTTTAGTCAGCATCTGAAACAATATTTCTGAGGGTATTATAGCACGAAAATAGAAGGAAGGAAAGTACTTGAAGACAAAATATTATCTATTGTATGTAATATAGGACATAAAGGTTTTTTAACTGTAATTTAACACTAAATTTAACTGTAAAGGTTTTTAACTGTAACTATTTTATGTGTACAGTGCCAAAATGTTAGAAGTGAGTGATCAAAGTAGAAAAATTTCCCATTAAACTAAATAAATAAAGGTTAAATATAAAATCATTCAATATATATTATTAACATCAAGTGTTAACTTGCTCTAATATCTTCACAAAAAACATCCACTATGTGGCTTAAAAAATATATTGCTTCCTCTAACCTCCTTTTTTTAAGTTTCTAAGCTTTGCTTATCTTTTTCTATGAAGCAAAGGGTTCTGTTACAAAAATTTCAAATATTGAAGGGAAAAAAAATAGTGGTGAATCAGCAATACTTTCTATTATTTAAGTCAAGCTCAGACAAATTGTTTGGCTAAAGGCCCACATTAGGGAAAAAATGGCAAACCACAAATAAAATTATATATTTATATATAAATGCTATTATCAGGGTTTCATGACAGTCTTAAATCAGTATTTCACTGCAGATTTATGATCTCGAACTGTAGCTCACTTGGTGCATAGTAAATTTCTGTTTAAATCATGCACTATCACTAAAATTGTTTCAGTTTTTCAAAAACCTCCAGATTTTGCTAATGAAGGATGATCTACAGTTTGCAAAATTATATTTTGATTTGAATAAAACAAGTTATATTTTTTATAACTTGTTAAATCAAATTGTATTTTAAATTCAAATTTATTTTACTTAAAAGACATCAAAAGACCTCTCAGGAACCTCTCAGTTGTGAGGGGTAGAGGTGGTGTTCCCGAGGTGTCTGAGCTGTCTGGAGGTAAAACTGGATTCCCTTCTTTCCAGGGGCTACTGGGGGCCTGGATCCTCCAGGCTGGGCTTGAGTGAGACCTCTCCCTGTGAGGAAAAAAAAAAAAAAAAAAAAAATCTTGTTGCAAATTCTAAGGAAATAAATTTTGGACTGCTTTACAGGAAATAACTTGCGAGTTGTAAGTACTCTGTGATTTGGTACATGGAACATTTGCACTTTATATCCTAATAAAGAACTACAATTATTGATCAAGCAATGTGATAAATATAGCCTTGACATACTCACCATACAGCTCATAAGATGCTTGTTGAGGGAATAATTGAAAGAAAGAACCATTCAGTGTATTACAGTGATAAAAGGAAACATATTTTTGTTATGAGATTTGTTGTGAGCAGGAGAGTCAAACATCTGATCATTGATTTTGTAGCAATATTTTCCCAAATTTGAAAGATTCGAATAAAAGAGGGATTCTTTAATTATAGCTTGACAAATATATATACTCCCACGGAGGATAAAGAAGATGAAGAAAAAGAACAATGCTATGAGGAACTAAAGGCAGTTTGTATGCAACTTGTCCCAAGCTTAACATTAAGATCATAATGAGTGACATAAATGCTAAAATTGGTAAAGAGTTCTGAATTAAGACCAACTATTGGAAGGAATTGTCTGCATGAAGGCTCAAGCGATAATGGACAGAAATTGATCTACTTTTCTGCCAAGAATGATATGACATCTAGTAGATTTTTCGATTATAGAAAAATAAACAAACTTACTTGACAATCCCATAATGGGGAGACACAGAACCAAATTTACCATACTTATTGATTCTAGACATGGATCAGAAATTAGCAGTGTAAGAACTTATCATGGAGCTGTTTTTGATTCCGACCACTTTCTTGTAATGGCCAAAATCAGTGCGAAACTGTTTAGTGTCTGAACAAGAGGTGAAACAAAAACACTACAGTTATGAACAATTAAAATATTAAGATACTAAACTAAAATTTCAATCCATCTTAATGAAAACTTGGATTCAGCTGATGAAATTGTCCATTGAGAATCTGGAGGATAAATGCACTGCAATTAAGAATATTTTCCATAGAACATGAGATTGTATTCATGGTAAGAGTGAAAATATCATATGTAAAGATTAGTTTGATATAGAATGTGAGCTTGTTACCAAAAAAAAAAAAAAAAAAGTGTTGTCATAAAATGCTACAGAGAAAATAGTCAAGAAACTCAGTTAAAGTCTTAGGGAGGTAAGAAGATAGGAGTTTTAGGGATGCATAAGAAGAAAAAGAGAATTTTTCACGAAGCCTTATTTGAATTTGTTGAATGTCTTAGGGGTGCTGATGAGAGCAATGCTTTCTTTTGTGAAATTAATCTTGGATGTTTCAACAGCTTGTAGTAATAAAGATAGATTAATGATAGGAATGAGATTATTAATCAGTGGAATGAATATTTCACAACATTGCTCAACAACCATGACTCAGGTTGTGAAGAGTTTGATGATTGAACAGCAATGACGGCATGGCTAATATCAGTCCACCATTTTTGGCAACAATAAATGAAGCAATAGATAAACTGAAAAACTAAGATTATATAGCTTTTACAGAGTTTCTAGTCAAAACAGGCCTTCTAGACGTGTTTTAAAGTATGGAGTTAGAAGCTGCTTATTGCCTGTAGGATTAAAAAAAAAGAACACTTAGTCTTCGTAAAAGAGATTCTGAAAGGCATTGTTGAAAGTATTCAAATACATGGTATCAGAAGAAGAAAAACCATTGCAAAAATCCACTAGACATATGAGTATCCAGACATCATTTTGTCAGGACTCAAAAAATAAAATGGGCTAGTCATCTAATCAGAATGCCCGAAAATAGAATTACCAAAACACTATTCATGTACACACCAATAGGCACTCGAGAGAGAGAGAAAAACTCGGATGCCCAGACTGTCTGGAGAAAGACTTAAAGGTTATTGATTAGAAGACTAAGGCCCAGAGTAGAACAGCCTGGAATGAAATTCTAAAAAAGGCCAAGGCCCATTATGGGCAGTTGAGCCACTTAGGAAGAAGACATCAAAAGAAAGAAAAAGAACTACAGTACAAAGTCCGTAATCCGGACTCGTTGGGACTTCGGTGATTCCGGATTGAGGGTTTTTCCGGATTATAGGTCATCAATTTAAATCTGGTAAGATGGCATGCAGAAATTATGCAATTAAAAATATGAAACCATAATTTATAAAATAAAGAGCAATTATGATCTAAAGGGTATCAAAATTTACAAGAAAAAAAAAAAAAAAAAAAGCTTAATGTTTATTTGTTTACTTTAGTAAACATTTCTATCAATGTAAGTTGTTTAAGTTGCTTTGTTTTTTGTGCTAATACTTTTATTTTAATTCTATAAACAGACATAATTCCTTGTTCAGTTACAAAGTTCCACTGTTCAAGTCCTCTAATTGCTGTGTCGAGAATACCGACTAACTTGTCAATCGAAATTTTTTCGTTTTCAATAATGTTCTCTGTTACTTTCTTCACTATCGGAAGTGCACATGGGTAAATGCTTTACGAGCATGCATAGCGGACACGTGCATCAAACACGCATGCGTAAGTTTGTGGCTTTGAGGTCCGGATTATAGATCATTTCAGATAATGGACGTCCGGATTAGAGACTTTGTACTGTATAATAAGAAATTATTATTCCTCATGGGCCAAACAAAAATGTGTGGCATGCCATAGTTTGCCTGCACCTGATTTAGATCTGTTGGTGACCTGTGGTTGAGTGAAAAGAGAGAATTCTTAAGTAAACAATTTTAAGGCTGTGTATACATAAATATTTCAGAAAACAATATCAGTAAATATTATTTTCATTCACTATTTCTATTCCTTATTATTCCTGATTTCTAAGTATATTATATTCTTATAGTGTATTATATTTATAGAATAAATGTTTTGTAAATTTTTTTATGATTCCTGGTATTAACCATTTGAGTCCCAAGCAATGCGATCGTGCTGTTGAGATTTTATGTTGAAAAAACCCAGTACATTTCAAACATTGTACTGGGTTTTACTTACCTTTTTCTGTTGCTTTGTCTAATTATTTTGAAACACACAATTATTAACTATAAGAAGCACTTACGCAAAAATATGTCCGATCGCTTTGCAAACTGCAATAAATGTGATGGAGCGATGAGAAAAAGACAAGAATTGTGTTACCTAACAAATACAAGAAGCACTAATGCTCCGATTGGGATTCATCAATTTAAAATAAACAAAGTGCTATTGTGCCGCTTAGTATTTCTTGATATGAAATAAAACAAGCTCGATTGTGTTGCTGCTTGGGTCTTTTTGTACTCATTTAGAGAAAGCACAGTTGCACTGTTTAGGATTCTTCGACAGAGTTTTTTTCAATACCCTCTGGGACTCAAACGGTTAATACTTAATCTTTGGTTTCCTGAAAGCATGCTTATCTGCTGTAAACCTAATTTACGTAATATGTCATTCTCACTTATTATATTGTGGCAATCAATGTAATAAATTTCTGATATCAAATTCAGACTAGTTGCTATTTATCTTTTTTGGGGAGAAGCAAGTTTTATTTATTTGGTCAAATGCTGTAAACTATAATGTAGGTATCTCTGTTATTAACATGGTTCCCTACAACATGGGTTTGCTCTTAATCAATAAGAGAATTGCAGAAACCCTCATATACCACAGCAAAACAGTTCATTCTAGCTTGCCAATGAATATGTGTAAAACCCCTTATAATACTTTATACATGCACATATTTCGATAAGACAATTTTATTCTAAACATTCAAAATTAAAATTATGTATTATACTATTGTGTGTAGTATACAATGGCAACTCATTTATTTATACACATAAAAATAAAATTTAAATTTAAATTCTGAGAATACCCACGTTCTTTCACATCGAAATTCTTTTGAAATGGAGTTGTGCCAATCATTTACACAGAAAGTATCTTTTGTTGCAAGTGTTCAGTTCAAGATTGTGTAAATTATGTAACTGTGATTTTGGAGGGGGGGACTGTTTAAAAAAGTTTTTGGGTATGTGTTACGAATTAGCTTTGATATTTTGAGCGTAATCATTGCAGAATTATGCTTCAGTCTCAAACTAGGTTTGAAAGTAAGAAAACAACTTTTAAAAGAAATTTCTTTGGGGATGAAAATGCAAATTTTGAATAGATTGTTAAAAGGGTAAAAGGCATCTGACATTATAAAAAAAAGTCTAAATTTAAATCAGGTGACAAACCCCCACAAAATAGGGGGGATTTGTTTGTAAAAGTTTTCGGAACACACCCTCTTTGTTAAATATTGGTTGTTAGTCTCAAATAACGCACACCATGGTATTTTCTATGAACCTATTTATTATGTTACAAGAGGGACACGTACTATAGTTTTCTTATACAAATATGTTGGTGATTTTTACTGTTCTTAATGTTAATTTTGTTGTATTTGTTTATTTCAGGCATTAAACAACTTACAGTCTACATATTCTGGATTTGGTCATGTAAATAGTGAATATGTTTTTAAGGTAATACTTGTCTCTTCCTTTAATTAGCTAAATATATTGATAGCCTGTTTTTGACTTTTATATGCTATCATTTCTTCAATATTTCAATCTTAATAAAAGTGAAAATATTATCTCAAGTGAAACTATTAAAGTTTGCAGTGTTTTAGCTGTCATATGATCTTTTATGTAAACATTTAAAAAATTTTAATAGACATTAAAAAAATAAGCTAATCTTTGGAATATGGTAACAGGTAGTTTGGCAACATTTTGGTAAGGCGATAAAGCTAGGACTTTAGCAGTGTACGTGGATAAAGTCAAGAGTGTGCGCAATGCCATTTTTGTGCAGTTCTGGGATTTTTTTTTTTAAGTGAAAATAGGTCGACGTGTACATGGATACCGTGTATGTGCAATTCTTAAAAACGCGGCAAGCAGTTTGCGATTCTGCACTTTCTCCCAATTTCGCACCTAACCTTCGTCATGATTAAGCACTATTGTTCCATAAAAGTTCTAGCATGAGCGTAATTTGGCTAGCAGATTGTTGGAAAAAAAAAAATGTTGAGTTAAAAAAAAAAAAAAACTAGCAGGTTGCTCTAACAAGGTTGGTCGCCAAATTTTTGCCAAAAAATCGCCAAGTTACCATAATCCGAAGATTTACCAAAAAATATTTAGAAATGCACATGTAAATAAATATTTTTTTTTCCTACTGTTAAAAGCCATTCAATATCTAATACCATGTCATCTGATAAAGGCAATTTTTACTAAGGTTTTCTTTTCTTGTTAGCTACTTGTATATTTAGATCTACTAGAAAACACTGCATAAAGGTAAATTTAAGTACACTTTGTATTTTAATTTACTTGTATATTTTAATGAAGTGTATCATAAATATCATATTGTGTATCATGTTAAAACTTCTCAAGAGTTCATTTTTTACAGCACATGAGAGTTTTTAAATATTCCATGTTTCTTTGCTGTCCACACACAGGGCTGTGAGTCGATAGGGAAAATAACCGACTCCGACTTGATTCTGACTCCCTCATATATATATGTGTGTGTGTGTGTATAAACGTATATACATGGGTTACAGCTTATTTTTTTAATATAAAAGAAGTAATAGGCACTACAGAAAAAAAATGATGGCATAGCAAATTATTTATATTAATTAGCATTTATTATAAAATGGAAAAACTGGCATTAGTTATTTCTAAGAAACAGTATAGGTTCGGCAAGACCTTCTTTGTTGGAGGGCCAATGATCCGATTTGATAAACTTCAGAGCTGAGAAGAGTCTTTCCACACTCACTTGAGTAGGAGGAAGAGCTGTTACCATTAGGGCTGCTTCATTTAACTTTTCATGATAGATTTTTATTAAGTTCTAAAAGAGGTGTCTTGCAAGTGCAATCATATTTCTGTATTTCTTCAAAGGCCCTATAGAAATCTTGTTTGTATTTTTTCATTTTTATATCTAAAGGCTCCTGGTTCTCTATTTTCATTCACTTTTCCTTAGCTTTTTCAATATTATCCAAAAATAGTTCTCAAAATCTAATTCATCATTGGAAGAGGATGATAGAGACTCAAATGCAATGTCTGCAGTTTGACTGTCCTGATTCGAATTTTCCAGTTGTTCTGAGAATAATTTCATTCTTAATGAAAGTTCATAGATGGCTTTATTTGCCTTTTTAATTTGCTCCTCATCCAAGAAAATTCGATGTTTCGGGTCTACATATATTGAACCCAGAAAGATCTCATTGTCTAGCCAACTAGTTTCTCTTTCCTTCATTGAAGAAATAATTTCTTCTGCAATAAACCCTTCATTTCAGAAATAACAAACATCCCATTCTCGCCTCCTGTTAGTTCTTCAGATTTCAGCTTTTTTGTGGCTATATATGGTATAGAAAGAAGAGTTTCCAATACTGCAAGATCATTCCACAGTCTTTCTGTTAGTGAAACGTTAGGGTTATCTACATCTTCTAAAAAAGTTCTTAATTCTAACAACCTCTTTATCATCAAATATGTACTTCCTCATTGCATTGCTTGATCAATAATTGCTCCTTTTTCTGCTCGCTTTGTAAGAATGGCATCAATTTTAATTTTGAGAGTTCTTGCTGCTATTGCTGCCTACCTAAATTTACCAGAGAGATTTGTAACTAAATAAATCAGTTTAATCACTAATGGCAAATATCACATCCATCCTTCTCCCTTATATTTATTTATTAATACATCAATAAAATAGAAAATAACTATTTATTAAAGTATATAGTCCATAAATAAAAATAATAACTCAGCTTGTCATTATTTTTTTTTCAATCAATTTTAATTTCATTTCAAATTCAAACTGCCCAACAAAAACTGGTGTCCGAGTCGACCTGTTTTTAGCAACTCCAGCTCCGACTCCTTGTACCTCCAAATCTGCCTTACTCCAACTTCACAGCCCTGTCCACACATTCCTGTACATTTATTACATCTTTGTGTATATTAAAATCTGAAGCAATAATCATTTTTATTCATGACTTTTTTATAAACATATTGGTAGGGGAGATTTTTGTATCCATTCTGTTTTCAGTTTTTTGCACTTAAGTTATTTTGAGTCGAAGTATGAGAGCTCACATTGTCACGATGAAGAATGTTTCGCATCTTCTTCTGCTTTTTTCGAATTTCTCTGATGACTTCTGGTAAACAAATGGTCACATACTATTCTCAATTGATCGTCCTGCATTGCTCTTATGCCACTGTCACCACGTAACTGGTAATGCTGAAGAAACAGGCAACTATTTGCTTCGATGTGCTTCTTCTGCAAACAACTTTTATTGGATTTGGCTCTTCTTGGCAGACCCATACAGTCAACTGCTGTTTTGTTTCAACTCGTATAGATCCATGATTTGTCACATGTGTAGATGTTATGCACAGTCTTTGATGCACCTTGAACGTATTTTTCCAACATTTCATTGCACCAATCAACACGAGCCTTCTTTTGAGAGTTTGTCAGATTATGCGGCATCTAACACGAAAACAAAATTTTAACAGCAAAATGTTCAGGTAATATCTTATTGATGCTTGTCATACTAATGCCCAAAGATGCCTCAATCTCACAATATGTCACATGACAATCTTGCTTTGTGTGTTCACACACAGCATCAATATTTTCTGGCACAGCAACCGATTTTGGATGACCTTCACAGAATTCGTCTTGGAGCGAACGTCAACCACGATTGAATTCGTTATGGCAGTTTTTTACAGTGCTGTAGGATGGTGCTTTATTGCTGTATAAAGAATTAAGTTCTTCGAAGCACTCTTGTCTTGATAATCCACATCAAAAGTTATGAAAAATAATTGCATGAAAATGTTCACGAGTCAATTCCATTTTTTGCCTGAGATGAGCTTTGCAATTTACTGTAAACAACACAAATGACACTAAAATGGCAAAATGTTCTGAAGAAGCTATGGTTAAAGGTATCAAACTTTCGATTGGATTCATTCATCTGTGTTTGCTTAGCAACACTTACTGTTGCCAAAGCCGTGTTGTGAAACTATTTATTTATTTACTTATTTTTTTGTAATAATTTATACTTTTACAGTTATAGCAAATTTTAAATGATTGTAATAGTTTATTATTTAGAAATATGAAAAAAAGTTTTTCCCCCTTCTTCAAGGTGTGTGATGAACCTCATCCATTGCTTATTAAGGACATGTTGAAACATTGTGTTGAGTGTAAACTTGATGAAGCCTACAAGATTTTGTTGCACCTTTGGAAACTTGGTTATGCATGTGAAGACATAATTGCTAATATATTTAGAGTTTGCAAAACTCATGACATGCCTGAATATTTAAAACTTGAATTTATTAAGGTAATAAATGTTTTATTATAAAGCTAAGATTTTATCATGCATATTGATTCAGGAATATTTGATTTTTACATGTCAATGCAAAAACACCTATGATCAGCTGGCTAAACTTTTTTTGTATAATTATTTAATTTGTGTATTAGAGAACAATTTAAAACTATTTTTCATAGTTGAAGTATCACAGGGTGCTGATACTTATTTTATTTTCTAAAATATCTATATTTCATTACACTTAAATCGAAATAATTTACAATGAAATCTCAAAATACTAACATATTTTTGATATAATACTAGCATAAAGAAATTGCAAATTCATAAAGGTTAAAATAAATCTTACTTATATACAGGGTTCGTTTGAGTCCTTAGATTTTTTGGAATTGATTTTTGGTCCTTAAAAGTCCTTAACTTCGGCCAAAATCAGCAAAAGGACCTTAATTTTAATCATCTGAAATTTCTGTCTGTTTTTACGACTGCCATTTTGAGTGTAAATTAGCATTTTGAAGGAATATTTTTGGTGATTCACTGAGGTATATGGTTATCTTTTGAATGGGTTCATGGGTTATAAGGCCCACCAGCGGCCGAGCGGTAAAGTCGCTGAACACTGGTAGTTCGGTCCGAGGTTCGAATCCCGCGAACGGGCTGGCTGCATGGGCGTTTTCGTGGTTTTCCCCATGTGTAACGTGTATACGAGCCAGTTTCCCTTAGAAAGTCCTCCATGAAGGCATCCCTCCCCTTAGGCAGATAGCCCTCGAGGCTTTGCCATAATCACACACACACATGGGTTATAATTTGTTTCTATTTCTAATATAAATGATGGGATACTCAAGGTTCTGAGCAAGAAGTGAAACATAAGCATAACGAAATTCAATTTTTCTATAAAGAGCCCATAAACAACTTTTTGCTTTTGGTCATAGGAATTCTTTTATTAAACGGTTCTAAATTTGGCGACTTATCAAAATTTTGGCGATTTTAAAATCAGTTTCTATAGAAAATTTTTAATTATGAGATCTGAGAATTTTTTGATGATTTTTTTAAAACATCATAATATTGATAAATTTTATTAAAATAATGGTAATATGTTGAAATTATATTAAATAAACATAAATAAAACATTTTTATTTTCCACTGTCATATTATAAAGTTTCATTTTGGCAACTTATTATACAGTCAAAAGTCGTTAATTCGGACACCCATAATCCAGAATAATCTATAATCCGGACCTCAAAGCTAAAAACTTTCTGCGCATGCGCCGCGTTGACACATGCGCATATGCGTTCACGCGTGCACGTAAGACCTTTTACGTCTGTGCATATGCGTATGCGCAAGTGTAGAATACGTTTTCGCGTGTGCGTTTTATGTATAACGGACGGTATAAGCTAAAATTATCTAATTATCTATTTCAGGTAATGTTGATGATTGCGTTGTTCCTTAATTTTCAAATTGGATCCGGCTTATTATTTTTTGCAGGCTGTAAGAGCAATACTATAAAAATAAACTTGAACTTTCAATTATGTCAAAAAGAATTTCCGATTCTGGATCTCCCAAAGGATCGTACAAAACGAAAGTATGTTTCGATGTCCATCAAACAAAAAGTGGAATTGCTGCAAAAAATGGATAAAGACATGAAGAATGTGACAGAGAGGTTAGTGAAAACGAAAAAATTTCGATTGACAAGTTAGTCGGTATTCTTGACACAGCAATTATAGGACTTGAACAGCGGAACTTTGTAACTGAACAAGAAATTATGTCTGTTTATAGAATTAAAGAGAAAGTATTATCACATAAAAAACGAAGCAACTTAAACAACTTACATTGAAAGAAATGTTTAATAAAGTAAACAAATAAATATTAAGCTTTTTTTTTTTTTTTGTAAATTTTGATACCCTTTAGATCATAATTGTTCTTTATTTCATAAATTACGGTTTCATATTTTTAATTTTAGAATTTCTGCATGCCATCTTCCGAGATTTAAACTGATGATATATAATCCGGAATCGCCGAAGTCCCGACGAGTCCGGATTAACAACTTTTGACTGTACAATATTTGGAACCTGAAAAATAAACCACGTATAATGCTATAAAGCACATTTTATGAAACAGCTCTTAGCAAAAGCAAAATTAGCTGTGTAATTAATTAAAAATGTCTTCTTTTTAATTTTTTCATAGTAAGAGTTTTTCCCATGTAATGGTCTCAGTATTTAGAATTCTCAGAATATGCATCAGTTTTTCTCTATAAAATTAATTTTACACTTTTCCCCCCTCCCCTTTTTTTCCAAAATATTTTTGGCCTTTTGCTGTTACAGAATTGGTAGGGATAATTTTTCTTTAGGATTTTAGACATTGCAACTTGGAAAGTTTAGAAGGATTTGAAGGCAAGATTTATAGAGCCACAATTCTAGAAGATTCGAGAAATTTGTGACAAAATGAAAAATGTCTCCATGGTATCAACATGTAATGGATGTATTTAACAGAAAGTTTGCAATGAGTTTCTTACTTTTTGGAAAACGTCTGGAAGAACAATGAAAACATAATATTTGAATGTTTTACTTCTGATACTAGAATCTTAACATGTTTATCTTCCCTTTATTTTCTCTACTTTTCACTAGGCACAAGCATGGAAAATATCAAAAATGCTTCTAATCTTATCACATGGGCAGGCATTATAGAAAGTTTTTTTTTTTTTTTTAATAAAGAAATTGAAACTTACAATTTAAAAGATTAATATGTCTTAATGCACCATACACATAGCTGAAACTCAGCATTTTCCCATTCTGTAGATCCTAAATTCTAAAAGTTTTGCCATTTCTAGATTTTGTTGTTCAGTGTGTCATTAAATTCTAAAAATTCTGCCACATCAGTTCTGTAACCGTCCTTTAACATATATATTTCATATTTCTTCTAAATGTTCATATTACCAAAGACATAAAATTAGCCCCTTTTTCTGTACATTCTAAATCCATTTAGTGTTTTTAGAATAACAGAAATCCTTAATTAAATTTAAAAATTCTAAAATGAAAAGCAAACATATTGAAGAAAGAAATTGAGTACATAAAGAAAATTATTCTTCAAAGATATGTGCAATTATTATTATGTAAATTCCACTATTATTTATGATTTCAGCCTTTACTATAATTTCCCATTTCTATTTCCTCATTTGAGAGTTACTGAGCCATATTAAATTGAAATTAAATTGTATAATCCTTGACCACTAGTCCACATTTTTAGTTTGAATTTGACTGTTCTTGTTTAATTACGTTACTGTGAACTGTAATTGATTTTGTTAGCATCAGAACATGCCATTCTTTTTAAATAAGAGGTGTATTTAAACCTTTGTCTGATATTGTAGTTACTTTCACACATAGCAATAATATGCTTCATACCTTTTGGGGTTTTGGACTATTTAACTTTTACCGAATTTAGTAAACCCTCATAGGTACACTGTGGAGAGGTTGACATGTTAAGAGATAAAGCACGTAGAAACTAGAAAAAGCATTGGTTTGCATATTGAGAAAAATCTTTAATTGTTAGAAAAGATGCTTAAAAAGAAGCAAATCGATATAAACTAGACAAAATGTCTGGGAATCCTTCAAATTAAAATTGTGAATAAATATTTTGTTGAGTGTTGTTACAAAACATAAATGTTTTGTAGCTTTTCATATGTAATTATCCTAATATCGTTTAAGAATCAATGTCATAAATTACATGTATTTTAGTGAAATTTTATTAGTTTTTGATTTTAATAGGGCCTTTTTAACAAATATTGTTAATTAAATTAAATTTGTTAATATTGTTAATTAAATTAAAATAAAATAAAATTTAATAGTGTGCCCATGTAAATCCATAATGACTAAGGTTATCTAACTACCTATTTTAATTACTTGATAACTAGCTGCTTACCCTGTAAAAATTATCTCTACATATTAAAGCAGTTATTGCCTTTCATTAACCTATTCACCTGTGGTCACAAGATTAAATACAAAAATGTAAAAATTCATGAAGTAAACTTATTCTTTGCATCTAATGAGACTTAAAGTAATACAAAAAAACTTATCTCCTCTGGTGCTTTAATGGCTTATTGGAACCTTAAAATATATTAACTGGGTTACAACCCCTGGAACTCTACACAAAGCTACACTAAATGCATCAAACAGAGTCTGACTGACTTTCAGCACTTGCCAATTGTGCCTACATCAAGCCTTTCAGGTTTGTTCGAATCAGCAGGTCTTTCTCTAGACAAGCAGCAGCGGTGACAACATTCAGCCTTTTGTTATGAATCATCCTGATTATGATCTTACTTATTATTTTAACTTCAAAAGATGTTTGCATAAAATCAACATAAAGCTAACTGTTAGTAAAACGTAAATGTCACTTATCTTCTTTTAAATATGTCCAACTATTATTACTAAACATGAATTAATTAACATAATTATTAATAAGTTTGGGAATAAAATAAACTTTATGAAATTTATCAAGTAGCATTGAATATTTTAAATAGTAAAATAGTAAAATATTCAATGCTACTTGATAAATTTCATAAAGTTTATTTTATTCCCAAACTTATTAATAATTATGTTAATTAATTCATGTTTAGTAATAATGCATATTACTTAGATATCTATTTTATTTTTAGGATGGTATTCCAAAAGTGAAATTCAGGCATAGATAATATTTTTAATTGAATTCAGTTCCCATTTGATCATAGGTCCTTAATTTTTTTCATTAATGGTCCTTAAAAGTACTTAATTTCCATGTGCAGAAATGTGTACGAACCCTGTAACAGAGCATTTCTGTATAATACTTGAATATGTAACAATCTGTTATTAGCACTTTCAAAGCAAGAGATACAATACATCCCAGCCCTAATCCATGTATCTTTGTCTAACATTTCCCTGAGTGTGAATCTCAAATCAGCATGAGCATTTTCATGCTTTTCTCCATGTGTAACATGAATGCAAGCCAGTTTCCTTGAGTCATCAAAGAAGGCATTCCTTCTCTTAGGCAAA